TGGGTGTGCGCCGGCCTCCCCGTGGGGCTCTTCGGCCTCGCGCCCGATCTGCGTTGAGCAGACGGTTCTGCAGCGAGGGCAGCCGCTGCGGGAGGGCTTGAGGGGAGAAAACCGCAGCTAATCCGGGCAGAAGCCGACCTCTCCGGCGAGCGTTCGGGCGCGTACGTGCCGGAGACCTTTGCTGTTAAAGAAGTCCACCCAAGACACGCTCCACGCTCGCGAGAGAACCGTAGCAGAGCAAACCTGCAGGAATTCATTTCCTGCTCCGAGGCTGGCTTGGCTGCTTCCTTTATAGAGCTGGCCAGATGCAGCGAGCGGAGCCTGGAACAGGGCTCGGATGGCGAAGCCAGAGCCGTGACCGGACCCCCCGCCACGCGGCAGCCAAGACGACAAATCTCGTCTTTCTTCTTTCTTTTTGCCTCCCTTTGCTTTCCGGTGGATGCAAGGTGATGCTGACGCCGCCCTTCCTCCGGGCTGCTGCTTTTGGAGCCTGGCTGTGGGCAGTTCCTACAGCGGGCTGAGAGGTGACACAGCCAGCGCGGCTGTCCCGGGCATCCCGGCTTGGAGAGGCCGCTCCGGGTGTCGTTTGCGGGATGCGGTTCGCTCCGGTGGCGGCTCCCAGCAGTTCCCGCCTCGGCCGGTTGTCTCTGGCGTCGCCTTTGAAGCGTTGAGGGTGACGCTTGGTTTTCCTGTCGGATCCATGGCTTCCTTCTGGTCCTGGTGGCTGGAGGCTGATCCTGGCTGGCCGGAGGGGTGAGATGTGAGGACGCGACGTGTCCGTGGGCGCCTCGCGTCCACTCATGGATCCAACGGGACTGTAAACCTGCTCTTAGCGGTTGCTTTCGTGCTTGTTGGCCTTGGTTTAGCTGAATTTAGCAAGTTGGCAGCAAGATCCTGGTTCAGCCCGAGGGCCCAGCCAGGCCCCCGGCCCCGAGGAGCCCCGGCACGGTCGGGGGCGAAGAGCAGATGGTCCCTGGATCTGGGGAGCTGGACGTGCGGAGGGAGCCGAGGGCCTGCAGCCACTCTGTAATCTGGGCCTGGAGATTAGCTCCTCAAAGCTCCTTGCCAGGCAGGAAGGACCAGATTTCGCCTCTAATGTGTCTAGTGTTTCTTGAACCCTCCTGGCCAACCGGTGTCCCGTATCCGTGATAACAAACGCGGTGCCTCCGCTCGGGAGGCGGGAACAGATGCGGTTTCTCTTGGCTCTAGCTCGGTTGCGTGCACCATAGCATAAACCCCTCATCAGATTTATTGAAATAACCCCCGATAGCAAATTGGCGTCGTTTGGGCCCAAAAAGTTGGTAAAAAGTTTGGGCCAAAAGTTGGCCGTTGACTTGAGCGGGAGCAGCAGGAGGGCAGCAGTGCCCCGAGGTTGGGCTCCAGCTTCCAAAGTCCAGCTGGGAACGAAGGTAACTGCAGTGCCTCAAAATAGCCCTGCAGGAAGCCCGGGACGACAAAACTGCCCCGAGCCCGAAGCCTCTTCGCATCCCAACAACTGGCCGGGCGCGCGTGGGCGGCCTCGTCGCCAGGAGGGACCATGCGGCTCTGGCCGGCCAGGAAAATCCAAAGCGTTAACGTGGGCTCGGAGATCTCTCTGCTTTTATATTTGTCTCCTGGATTTATTTTAAACGTTGCCTCTGTTTCCCTCGTTTCTGTCCTCAAATGCACCGGGGAGGAACTGGTTTCGCGATCCGCGGACAATTCAGCACCTCCGCTCGGCGCGTTCTTGGCAAGGAGGAGCCCCACGGTTGCCACCAGGCTGAGCTGACGTCATGCAGCCCATGTCTGCAGCATTTATAGCACATATAGGTCACCGCGGGGAAGTTGGTCTTCCTGGAGCTTTGAGCAGCGACTGGCGTTTGCCAGCGCGAGCTCTGTCATTTGCTGCTGGTATTTTGGGTTCGCCGACACGCTCGGTCCCGCTCCCACGAGGTCCCGTGTGCAACGGGTCCCATATTTGCAGCAGCAAAACGTTTCACGTCGTCCCTCGTCCCCGCCGTGCCGGGTTGGGATTCCCAGGTGCCCGAGCTGGCCGGGAGGTTTTGCAGGGAATCACCCGGAGCGGCCGCTGGGTTTTCGGCAGGGCCGGCTGCACCCCGAGCTTCGCCCGCGGGGCCAGGCGCGCGGTGCCAGCAGCACCTCGTTGCAGTAGGAGCCCAGCCCGCCCCGGCTGGCAGGTCGTCCTGCTTGCAGGGCAGGCTGCAGCAGGAGGGCCCTCGCTGCCCTCCGATCCCCCGGCACCGTCTTTGCCCCCTTGCTCGAGGTACCAGCGGCTTTGGAAGGGCCGGGCTGCTGTTTCCACCCCCAACGTTTGCTCAGTGCTTTGCGTTTCTTTCCCCCCATGTGATTGCGAGAGGAGGGATCGCTTTGATCGGGGCGAGTTCATCAAGCGCATTTGAAGGTGGCTAACGAGGGAGTTTTTCAAAGCGCTGCAAGCCGGAGCATGCAGCACGTTTTAAGTTATAGTCTCGTGAACAAAGTCCCCGCATTCTCGCCGGAGGGAGGTGAGTCTGCAGCCCCTTTGAAAGGCTGCTTTAAACAACAGTCAAACTTGGATACCTGTGGCAACAGCCCTGAAAGCAATAAATCCTCCCAAAGATGAGGCTGTGTCTTTAATTGCCGCTACGGCTGGGCTGTTTGAAGAGGTAATTCCTGTGTGTGCTCCGCTTGCGCCCGAGCCGCTCCGGAGCGGGGAGAGTTTCTGCCTCTGGGTTTTCTTTGCTGTCAGTGGTGCTGGCTCAGGCTGCAGAGCTGCGTTTGCGGCTCTGCACGGTGAGGAAAACGGGAGCTTTTATTAGCAAGGCTGGATCACGTTCTCCTCGGCAGCGCCCCCGCTCCCGCACGCGTTGCTGGCGCTCGGGTGGGAGCGCGGGGCTCGCCTTGCTATTTCGGTGCCCGCTGAAAGGCAGGCGTGGGGCGCGCGACGTGCGCCTTGCTATTTAAAACCGGCACTTTGCATTGAAAGCGCCTGGATGGGGCCGCGCGGGGCCAAAGAGCCGCCCCAGCAAACGAGGCGAAGGCCGGGGTGAGCGGGGCGACCGGCCCTCCTCGTCACGGCCGCCCCACGGGACGGCCGAGCTGCTGCTGTCAGCCCTGAGCGAAGGGAGGGTTCGAGAGCTCGGGAGGGTTTCGGCTGGGTGAGAAATGCCCTGTGCTGCCAGGGCCTCTCCTTGGCGCATGTTTAAGTGGGGTCTGGAGGGCGCTGGTGTTTGCGGAGCGCAGGGATCTGTCCCTTGTTCCGCCCCGGGGCAGGTTCCTCCCGGTGGCTCCCAGAGACCTCGGTGGCCCGAGGGCACCGTCACGGGTGCCACGGAATGGCCGCGGGGCCGGGAAGCGGCAGGTTTTGCCGG